CCCCACCAGGTCGCGTTATAAACAGACCCCACCAGGGCGCGGGTTAAGCAGTGTTTGAAACACCTGTGGTCCTTTCGCCATGAACTAAGCAGATAAAAGAAATACCTTATGGAAAGGAAATATTCGAATACTTTCCAATCATACATAATACGAGATCAGGAAGTCCAACGCAAACAGGCGCCTCCTGGACGTCTCGCAAGTGTAATAGCGTCATATTCATGCTACAATATGTGTTATACAGAGCGACGAAACTTGAGGTCAAATGAGGTCAAACTACGCTTTTGCCAATAACTGGGCACACAATGATGCTAGAGCTTCAAAAATGGTGTCATTGTGCTCTTATTGATTAACCGAATCGAATGATATGCGATATGATGCAATGTGGTTAACTTGAACTTAAGTAATTAATTTAAGCTCACTTAACCCTCGCCCGCACATGCCATTTTCTCATCCTAGAACGCACATGGGGGGGTGGTTGCCACCCCCCCCCCGCGCCATTTCGTTCCTGTTGGAGATAGAGCTTAGCGGTAAGGACCAAAAAGATTCTTTGGGAAGAGACGAATCCAATGATACCCAGTTTTACCTTCTCAGGTCAGTCATTGACCTTCCAGGTCAGGTCAAACTAAAAAATGTTGCTGTTTTGGGTCACCGTTGGATATCAAGTGTGCTGCTTATCAAATACCGATGACGATGCTGTTTTCTGGTGCCAAGCCAGCTAGAACCTCTTTGTCACACTACCCGACCAGAATTTTGCTGCTGAGGTCATTTCAGGTCAAGTTAGGTCAAGGTCAATTATATGTGTTTGTATGTCTGTGTGTGTCTGTGTGTATACTGATGTGTGCACCGATTGTTTTTGGGTCCATATTACATAAAATCATGATCTGAGAAGCTTTTACCAAAAATGCAGTCAAAAAACTTCAAAAAAGTAAATTCAGCTTGCCTAAAACGCAATTATCTTAGATGACCTAGGTTGACCTTGACCCTGACCTTGACCCCTGTACATCGTCGAGCAACATGTTCCATGATAGGTGGGAGGTAAGACTGGCAAAAAAGGCCGAAATCAGGGTGTCAAAAGCTCATAAGGCCCATGCAAACGCAATATGTTGAGAATTGGCCATTTGGGTCATGACATGACCTGACAAACAAGGTCATATCTCCGAAACCAAAAATCACAGAAACTTGAAATTTTCAGTGGACATCAAGAAAGGATAGACGAGCAGCTATACGAAAAATCAGCCTTCTAACTCTAAAAATGTTGAGTGCAGAGCAGAAAGACTACCTGGGGGGGGGGGGGGTGGCAACCACCCCCCCCCCCATGTGCGGGCGAGGGTTAAAAGTTGGGAAAATTTTAAGTTTACTTAAACTGGTAACAAAGTATAGGTATCATTCGATGCGCACGGACATGCTGAGTTCACTGGTGCTTTTTTTTTTAGCTTTAGCTAAACTAGATTAAAAGTTATAAACGAGAAACCTTTGACCTATTTTAGCGAAGTTTTTTTTACATTTATGCCCCCCCCCCCTCCAAAAAAAAACACCCTAAATATTGAGGTAGTGTAACCAATTTTTCACAGGGGTGAGATTTCTTATGGACCCAACTACCCTGTAAATTTGGTGTTTCTAAGTGTCATAGGAGCCAGGGGAGGGGTCGCATCAACCCCTCCCCTCCCTGGCCGTCCGCGTTATGAAAAAGGCCCTGGCCTGGCGAGTATTAAGTGATTCAGATTCAAGATTGCTTCATTTTTTGTGCAGATTTGTTTCCTTCGTGATAACCAGCGTCATCATATCAGTGCTATGCAACGTAAGAAACCTCTGAATATTCCCTGGTATCATCAATCTAATGAGACCGCCCCAACGTCTGCTCCCGCTACCATGCCAGTCTGCCCAGATAATGCTGGATGCATTTGTGTGTGGGCGATTCCATTAGACATAAAAAAAAACACAACGAATCACAAGTTCCCTTATCGCTATAGCCCACTGTCAGAAATTCGCGCATCATTAAATGCATTGTTACTGATGCTAGACAGCAATATCCGTTACGCCATGCCACAACAGAGAGATGATACCCACTCCTCGCTTTTCCGGGTGAATGCTGCTTGGATCATTTTCGGTGTAAAGATAAGGGAATATTGTGCCTCTTCATAATCTTTTTCTCCGAATCTTTTTTAAACGTGCTTGAACATTAGCCGTTTTTACGACGGGCTATCCGGCGAATGCACCTGATTTGACCAAATCCGCACCTAATCTCTTTTAATAATAATAATAATGCCATATATTTCGCACCATCAGAGGTACATACATCACAATCACAAGTACATCACATCCTACATCCACCATACACTCACCACCAGACAACCACATTCCGTAGTACCATAATTATTTACATTGTTCGGTTTCCGATCGTTCGCTGGTCATTCGCTAATCTGTAGGTCTCCGTCTCAATACAACACGCTTTAAATGAGCAGCGAATATGTTAACGATGCTCGCCTGGCTAGCAGAGGGCAAATCAAGTTCCATCAGCCCATATTCACGCCGTACCGCACGATGAACTCTGACCAGTGTTCCATTCTGACCAACGTCACTATCAAGCACAGTTTTGATAACCGTATTTTCACTCGATGTCAGTCGTCTATAGAATAAGAGTTGTCTACTTGCTACCAGCATTTGACACGTCAACAACCTGTTAGCATGGCATAGTGGATGATTTCTGAATGATGTTGGCAACCTTAGTAACTTTTTTAAACATGAGTGATAAGCCACGCACAACTCGCGGAAAGCCTTCTTATCTCTCACAGTGTCCCATAGCTCACAACCGTAAAAACCTGTACAATATGTACGGAACAACTTGACCAGAATGTCTTTACTCGCGTGACCTATTAAAGCACTCAACATATTTACACTGAAGTACAGTGAACGCTTCATTCTGCGCATGTCCCCGCTGTCACTAAGATTACATTGTATCACATGTCCTAGGTAGTTAAACTCATTGACACATGCCAGTTTGCTACCATCTAATATGATAACTGGGGACCGTGATTCAGACAGATGGCTATGATAGCGTTGTGGATTAAAAACCATACATACAGTTTTCTTCACATTGAACTTCAAATCCCTTGACACAGCATATGCCTCACACTTATCAACTAGTCTTTGAAGGCCTGCTCTAGACGGTGACAAAAGAACAATATCATCGGCGTAAGCCAAAATATTCAGAGCTCGACCTCTAATTTGACACCCAACAGGATCTGATTGAATGCTGCGAAGGAGGTCATCTATATACACATTGAATAACAAAGGTGAGAGATTTCCACCCTGTCGAGCACCATTAGCAATTGGAAATTCATACGATGTGCTATCGGACCACTTCACACACATCTTTTGAGACTTGTACCATTGCATTAGAAGCCTGAGGTAAGATGAGGGAATCCCCCGATCAGAAAGAATTTGTGAAAAGTTTTGAGTGGGCAACTCTATCTTTACGGCAAATATCTTCATTTTATGAATTAAGTTCAGTGTTTTAAAGGTAGTGTGCCACCTTTGAAAGATTTCCCATTTTATTTTTCCTAGGATAAGAAGCTTCTGTTTTTACCTAATATCGCAAAAAAAAATCAAAAATGGGCCTGGAATAGTGCCTTTTTCGCCTAAAAGTTTATCGGTTCTTAGATATGTATAACAACTGTAGTGGACTCACCTGCAAACAGGCGTCGGCAACAATCGCGAATGCGGCGCACATGTGACAATAAGCAAAGGCCATTATAGTGTTACGACCATACGACGTACGGGAATGAGTTATCAGCTGTCTAATCGTAGACAACATAATGTCGAGCCTTAAACTGTAAGCCTGTATTGGTATTGTTTCTTTTATTTGGCTGTCGAACATTATTTATGGTTTGAAATATGATTTTATGTAAAATAATTGATATGAAAAAGCCGTCTCATAAGTTATGAACCCATTTCACCACACGCAAGTGGCAGAAATGACAATGATCAGCTGACGCATTTTTCTTGGCCGAAGTCAGAGCGCGCAGCCCGACGCACCACCACCGCACCACAAAGTATGAGCAGAAGCCGCGCCCAAAGCCAGGGCCCCGGTAACGTGAGGTAGCCGAGTCGGGGCAGCGTGCGCTGACCCAAGCCGGGGCCGCAGCTTTGGGCGCGGTCTACCGCATCCCCCCGGGCAGCCCCGGGCTATCACATGACACCGGGAGGACGCGCGGCTCCGGCTTGGGTCAGCGCACGCTGCCCTGACTCGGCTACCTCACGTTACCGGGGCCCTGGCTTTGGGCGCAGTCTACCGCACCACCTAACAGGCGTGTTCGAAACCGCAGGAGCTGATGATGAACGGGTTTATCGAAACTTGATTGGATGAGCATATCGGTAATAGCGATTTCAGTGTGTGCATTTATTGTTCATAGTGGTGTGAAATGTGGTTGGGGTACGACCGACAACCCGTCGGGGCGAATTTCGCACTGGGGTACTCAAAATTTGAAGAATTTAAGACGTTTCCATGAGTTTTGAAGGTATGGATAAGTTCTAAAAATCCGGTTCTCCTTATCTGGGCCATTAACTCCATACGGTCCAGGAAAGCTGGCACACTACCTTTAATCGATGATGTTCTCTGATGATACGACAAAGCAGGAATATAAGCAATTAGTGCAACCCTAGCTGATAGCTGCTAAGAAACACACTGAACCTGATTTTACCAAAACTGCACCTAATCTGTACCAGATGTGCACCAAATGTGTACCAGATGGTCGTCGTGAAAACGGCTATTATCTACACGGCATGAATATGTCGCGTGTCAAAATGATTTGACGTCCAACTGGTCTAGTCGCAGCATACGGCCATGCAACGGCCATAGGGCTAATGTTAAAATGCCTAAATCAAAGGGGGCACGGTGCCCCGGTGCCCTCCCCGTTCCGCCGCCTATGTAACCGTCTTCTGACTATTCTGTCAGAAGTCAACATGCCTTGAAGATGTAACGATGCCAACGTTTGTTTCAGGTCAGAGACTGCGACCTGAAACAAACGGCTCGGAGACTGCGCTGCTGAAGTGTCGACACGATGAGTCTCGCCGCCGCCGCTGCCCGGTGTGTACCGGGCGCCACTCGGATGCCGCTGCTGGTGTTGACGGTGGTGGCGCTGTCAGCCCGGCCAGCGCACGCCGGCGACATCCTCTCCCTGATCCCGTCCAACTGCACACACAACACCACCGACGTAGGCGAGGCCTACTTCTGCTCGTGCCTCGAGGAGAGCGGGGTGACGTTCGAGAGCAGCGTCACCGAGCAGGTGCTGCGCAGTCGCACCGCGCTGGTGCACGCCTACAACTGCACCATGTACTACACCACCTTCATGCGGCTGGAGGCCAAGTTTCCGCTCTACTACTCGTACCCGTACCGCGCCGTGGGGGCATTCTTTCAGGGCACCGTCTTCCTAGTCGGCTTCCTGGGCAACCTGCTGGTGGTGGTGGTGGTACGCCGGTCGCGCGCCATGCACACCCCCACCAACTGCTACCTGGTCAGCCTGGCAGTGGCGGACATCACGGTACTCATCGCCGCAGTACCCAACGAGGTCTTCATGTACTTCCTGGTGGCGCAGGCCTGGATCTGGGGCAACGCCGGCTGTGCCATCCTCATCTTTCTGCAGAACATGGGCATCAACGCGTCCGCGCTGAGCGTGACGGCGTTCACGGTGGAGCGCTTCATTGCCATCTGCCTGCCGCTGAAGGCGCGCACCATCTGTACCGTCAGCCGCGCCAAGCGCATCATCCTGGCTGTGTGGGTGTTCGCCTTCCTCTACTGCATCCCCTGGATGTTCCTCACCAAGGTCAGCCCCGTCCGCTACATCGGCGTCAGCGACGTGCAGCAGTGCACCTTCAAGCTGTCCCGCCAGGCCTACCTGGGCTACTTCTTCGCCGACATCGTGCTGTTCTACGTGGTTCCTCTGCTCATCAGTAGCGTGCTGTACACCATGATTGCCGTGGTGGTCTTCCGACCGCCCCAGGCGCTCAAACAGATGGGCTCCTCGACCACCGGCGGCGCGCAGGACGCCGGCGGCAGCAACAGCGGCAGAGCGCAGGTCAGTAACAGAAATAGCAGCCGGAGGGCGCAGGTCAGTAATAGCGGCCCGGCACAGGTCAGTAACGGCTGTCAGCGGCACAGCGCAGGTCAGTGACAGAACTAACAGCCGGAAGGCCGGCAGCAGGTCAGTAACGGCAGTCAGTAAACAGCGTCGGCACAGGTCAGTGACAGCAACACTCAGTGTTCTGTTGGCTGTTGCAGTGTTGCTGTTGTTGCTAGCGTTGCTGATGTTGCTAGTGATCTGTACCTGACCACTGCTGCTGCAACAGTGGCCAGGAACAGATCAGTAGCAGCAACAGCGTCCGGGCATGGGTCAGTTATAATAACAGCCGCCGGGCACAGCTCAGTGACGGCACTCGGCAACAGCGGCCGAATACAGGCTAGAAACAGTAGGTGATCGGGCACAGGTTGGCAGCAGCAACAGCGGCCGGTACAGGCCGCTGTTGCAGGGACAGTTCAAACTGTTTTATGATACAGCTATAGAACGCCTTTTCTAGCTCGATGGCTACGACATTCTTTGGTGTAATTCACCTATCTGTTATCTATCTTCAACCTTTCAGTTTCACTCTGTTGAAATAATTGCCATCATAGCTTGTTCCTTTTCAGAAGAATCGTTTCGTTTTAGCTCCCTTTTGTAGTGCAACTGATTGGCGACTTCACAACTTCTGAGGAAGTATGAGATAGCGCTGTCTCGGACAGAAACTGATGTTTCTAGACAGACGGTCTCTGGGCTGCAGTGCTCTCGTCTATCAGCTAGCGGTCGGTGACCAGACTGTGACGGAAATTGAACAGTTTGTGATCTAAACACGCGTAAAACAGGCCATTTGCTGGTTGATTGAAGACTAAAGTAAATTTACCATCATATTACTGTTATATTGAACAGGAAGTTTTTTGATTTGTTGGTAAAGAGGTAATAGTACATAAATGGCTCAAACTTTTCATCGTCTGCAACATACAACTGTCATGTTTATTATTTCTTGCTTGGTGATATCCCTACAATTCTGAACTGCTGTGATTATGCAACCAACTGCCGCATTATGGTTTACGAGCTTAGACGTCGTTGATGAAGTCTTGTAATTTCAGTCATTAGTTTCTTTCAAGAAAGAGAAATTTGCATTAGTAAGAGACGAATAGGGTCGTGAATATGGAAGAGTTTTTCGTTCTGTCGCGCCGAGACTCGGTCAACAGCAGGATGCTGCCCGAGGGCGGACCGCTGGAGCGCGCCCGTTCCTCCGGTCCGGTCCGGCTCGTGCCTCCGCCCAGGCGGGAAGAGGCGGAGGGGTTTCATGTCTCCACACACTGGGCCAGGCCGGGCCGAGACTCGCTCGCCCCTGGGTTTCCGTCACCGTCGCCGGCCGCGACACGTCGCCTCCGTAACAGGGTCACGGGCCAGCTGTCGCCTGCCAACAGAGACAACACGAGCCGCTCTGTGACGAGCCGGCTGTCGTCGCGGCGACACAGCAAAGACAGAGTAACTGGCCGGCTGTCGACGCCGCGCGTGTTCGACCGACTGTGTAAGCGCGCGCTGTCGGCGGGTGTCGAACTGGCGACCGTGCCGTCCTGACGGCGCCCAGCTGCCGGCCGACGCGTAATGATCTCATTCGCCGCCACCGGCTGGCGGCCCGCCAGTCAGGGACCGACTGCTCCAGACGGCATCAGCCCCACACGGCGCCCGGCCGTCCGTCAGACCGGATTTGTGTCCGCGGCAGCGTTTGTGGCGGCTTATGAAGGAAGCGATGCAACGTTATGATTCCAGATTGGGTTAGAAAAGACGCTCCGCAAAAGTTTACCCACATGACGGCTTTAGTATTCTTTCAGTCTGAAGAAAAATGCTGAAATTTCAACTTGAATTCGACCAATGCCTCACACTAACTAGCTCATCAGAACGAGAATCGAACTGCTGACTGAGTCGACGCGCTATGGCGAGGGGTGGCGGCGACAGTTTGACCTTTATTTACGGCTGATTTGGCGCTCCTTTTAGCCTCAAACAGGGATGATCAGCGTTTTTTTCTTCTTTCACGGGGAACGCAGCAAGTCTTGCTTATTGCAAGATCTGACCTCGTAAATCAACTCATTCATTACTTGCGGATGATATCCATGCTGTAGTTTCCGCAGTGCGAAATTGCCTAACCTGGCTCTTAGATAGCGATCTGATTTCTAGCCTCCGGACCCGACCATTCTTTCCTAAGTCGCTGGTGTCCCACCGCTGACCAGATCTCTCGAACTGGAATGACTGATATCCAGCCTTCATATTGCCTCTCGTGATGTAGTTTCTGGCGTCTAGACAGTCAGGGAAACCAAGCCACTCAGTGACCCCGGCGAACCGAGCCCGTATCAGACAGCCGTTCTGCCCCGATGGCCATGGCGCGGGCTGTAACTGGCAGTCGCCGTGCCCTCGTCAGGAAAACGGCCCACGTTTGGGTCGGAGAGGAGAACTCTTTATGCGACAGCCGACTAATGAATGCTATTCCAGTGAGGCCAAATTAGTCTCCATCTTCGGTGGATGCACATTAAACTAAATGTGCCTAGATCTTATGCGGTCAGCAGTATCTTCGTTGTGTAACGCACTAGAGTTAACTGCAAGCTATGCACTAGCAATGGCTGCGGCATCGGCTCACTTGGCCCGTTTCATAAATTTTATTCACTGGCCGGTCCAAGGTGGCATTTAGAACAGTCGCCTCTTTCACAGCGTCGGAATCGACGGAAGTTTGTTGTTATCGTCGTAAAGGAAGAAAAGGAAGGAACTTTTATCAGAAAAGTTTGACGTTTGTCTTTAATTTGCATAACGTTTACGGGGATTCGAAATCTAAGGAGTTTGGGAACTAAAAAAAAACTTTTTGGGAGTATGACCCGCCATACAACTTCCAATGTCTACCACCTTTCTGGATCCATAAATGAGTTCCTTGACCTCATCGACACACTTAAATGTATCATGCATGTGAGGCTGCGACTGCATTACAAACTGCAGCCTTGCTACTACATGGCAATTGACCATCGGCGAGTCTATAAGCAGTGACAAATGAAATTTGAAACTAATACAGGAGAAACGCAACGCCGCAGTAGCGACACCCCCACCGGCGAAAGATGATTCCATCGGCAGCGCCGTCACCTGGTTAGACAGCGCGGGCAGTGCAGTGACGGGAGACCACTGGTATCGTTCACTGTCACTGGCAGTGAGTGGCGACTGGAGGGTCCCGGCCCTGCATACAACACGTCGTCGCTCGCACGGACGGCTGACGCTGGGTGCGAACAGTCATCGACCGGCGCCGGCCTCCCCCAGGTCGTAAAGGAGTCGAGAAGGCGCCGCTTGCCCACTATCCGGCCTCCAGCTCAGCAGCCTCCCTGCACTAAGCGTGGGATGATTGATGAGTCGTAGATAATCCCGCAGACAGCGCGCCGTCGACGGAGGCACTGCAGCTAAGTGCTTCGATACCGCAACTCGTATTTAACAGGATTTAGCCGGATAGAGCTAAAAAGGTGCGGCTTAGTTCGCTCAAAAGTTTGAAATGGGAATCATATGGGATCCGAGAAGTTAGTGTGGGAGGTTGATATGCTGATTTCTATCATGATAAGGAAATTAGAAGCTTAAAAGGAAATGAGGAGCTGGATACTCTCGCCGGTCGTGTCCCACGCGTCTTGTTCGGTGGCGTTGGTCGCCATCCTTTGCCAACCACAAAACCAAAGCACGCTTAACCCGCGCCGGGCCGGGGGTGTTTGAACCCCCCCCCCCTGCGGTTTTTCGCGGATGCGCCGCCGTTTTTGGCACACCTGTTGGTGCATCTTTTTCGCACATGTTGTGAAGATTTCAGACCCAGGTCGCTCAAGGTCAGGTCACCAGGTCACGCCCAGTGACCTCACCTCAGAAAAAATAGAATGCTTGTCATAGCTACACCGACTGAGCGATTGTCTTTAAACTTTCAGCGATTGATAAGAGTAGCAGTATCTATAAAACGTATATCTCGGAATTTTGATATCGGTGACCTAAGGTCAGGTCAATTTTGCGGCCTCTCCATTATAGGTAAGTAAACGGGAGAAAATTGAAAAGCGTCTCTTTTGCACGAACGCCATTCTAGAAACTTTCAAGCATCGGGATGCAGGTCAAATTGACAAACTGAACCGGAAAATGGCACATGTGACCCCTCGTAATGTCCTCGAGGTCATCTCAGGTCACGAATAGTATCTAACAGTTTTTCGTTAATAACTTCTGCTAGAGGCATGCTAGAGCGATGAAAACGCCTTAGATGTGTTCGGCTCGACGATGCAGATCGACTGATATGCAACATGACCTTTTCCGGTCAGGTCATGGCCTTGACCTGAGGTCAAATTTTCAAGTTGATCTTTCAATGTCAAACTACAGTTCGTTCGAAGCGTCTCGACGAGAAGAGCACGATGCTGGCAAAAGTAATGCCGTGGCTCTTTGGAGTCAAAAGTTATTGCCGAAAAAACACTTTTCGTCAAAAACGGCTATTTTTAGAGTTTTTTCCCTTTGGAGGCTAAACCACTGACCTGAGGTCAAATCTCAGGGGATGTTGGCGACATATCGTTCAAGGAGCTATCGAATGCGCTTTTCCGTGGCGCTGCACTGTGGGGACTTTGCCCCTCCTAGCACGACTTAACTCCCGCGGCGGTACGCCGCAGTCAGCTGACCGCCGCGGTGCCGGGCAGCGCGGCGGAGCACTGGGAGCCACGCGACCGCCAGGGCATATTTTAACAAATTTTTACTGCGTCCCCAAGTTGAGCAGAGGGCACTGCTACGACTAAGGGCACAGGACAAGGAACAGAGTGGGGCACTGAGGAGGGCAGAAAGTAGGGCATGGCAGGCTGCAGGGCATGGCACAGGACATTTTAGAGGGAAGGCTGGGTACAGGACAGGGCAGACAGCAGGGCACAGGTCAGGGAACCGGACAGGGCAGGGACGCAGTGGGTCAAATTAGCAGGGGCAACGTCCCAAGGCGAGGGGGCTGCGTCCCAAAATGGGACGCAGTAAGTGCCTTAAAA